AAATTTAAATCAACGACGTCCGTTGTCTTTCCGATTATATTGGACGTCATACCCGTTAAGGCGTATCATATGAATTACTCGGAAATTTTGTTTGCTTGTGTCATACAGTTTGTAGAGGAAATCTTCAATATTCTTTCCATGCAAATTTTCGGCATAATTATGACCATACTTTTCGGAGTAATTATCTTGTGCGTAAAACGGCTCTTAGTCTCGATCGACATATTAAAATTTAGGCGCTTCTTGTTGAGATCCATAGTTGGGGAGCCGACAAACATGACGGTGTTGCCAGATTTAGTTACAGCGTTGGAGACCCTACTTTTTAAACAACGCTGATTATCTTTTGTATAGCTTGTTCCTTGCGATACGTCAATGTTTACTGCAGTGTAAGCGCGGAGGGTTTCGTGCCTGAATTTACGACCCTTGTGGATGGTAACACTTTTTTTCAGCGCTAAAAAAGCCGCCGCAGGATCTCCTCCTCCTCTTCCTGTAATGAAAGAGTGCTATTTTTAGTCGCGCATACTTAAAGCGGACGCGAAAGACTTTGTTTGCATCTACAGGTATTCAATAATCACCTGAGATTTAGGATTATGTTATGAAGGAGGAAGCATTATATGGCGTGTCCCAAAATTAACGCAAGTTTAGAATTGAATAAAAAACACAGTTTTAAGTCTTTGAATCGTTATTTTTTTAACCATAAAGTAAAGTGGTAGCAATGATCATACTGATACAGGGTTTGTCCGGAAAGTCATAGGACTGAGTCGATTTAAAAAAAATGATTGAGCCAATCGTTACAATTCTTTAAAAACTTTCAAAATAGGCTCCTACTGCGTCGATGCAGCGCCCAGCATTGAAGGCGTCACTGTATGATTGATATTGCAAAGTGTCGTTAAGTTAAAATTCGGTTAAATTTTACTCGCCGAGCTATCTCATAAGATAATCAATAATTACGAGGAATGTCACCCCCACTAACAACGGTTATTTGGACATGAATGCTTATCTATGATTGTGGAAACAGTTTTAGAAATCTGCACTCCGGGAAATATTGAGGAGGCACAACTCAAAGTCCGGTACAACATACCCGACTTTCCCCTAATAAATCGTAAGATGAAAGTGAAGCGATTTTTCCTGTATGCAACATTGGACGTGCTTAATTTATACACAGCATTTTGCTTGCATCGGCAGCTACACGCCTAACGCATGCAGTGGATCATGAAAATGACATTAGCAGAATTGTTAATTGTCAAGATTTATGACGTTCCTTATAAAGATATTGTCTGAGAATTGTAGGTAAAAGTAAAAGTAAATGCACTGCGAGCATTGTCGTTATGCCATGTGATCAGACTTTCTTCGTACCGAGACTTGTTTAGGTATTCCGTATGGCTCTTCAGGTTGTGTAATGTCATTTAAACTTAAACATATGCTATACGATTTATGTTTACAGTATCATCTGTATGCTATCCATCAGTCAGTCAGTATTGTTGGGAAACTTTGAATTTAAGTTTACTAAAGAGTGAGGTTAAGATTCAGTACTGACGTTCGACCCGCGCGGCCTACTATGTTTCTATATGCAAAACTTAAAAGACATCCCTCGTATCTAGTAATTTAGACTTTTATTACTATCCTAACGGTGAGAAAAGGATAAACAAAAGTATATAAAACAAATGACACCAAGTAGGCTCTAAGCATGAATTAGGGTCTCTTTACAATGAAAAGTTGCGTCGCTTTACGAATCGCCCGCCATCTTGAGCCGCTATAAAATAAGATTTAACGCGTTGGAAGGCGAAATGTACAGCGTACTTGGAAAAATCGACACCACGTTTCAGTCTGCGCAATAAAGTTTTCTATTTCATGACTATAATCAGAAATAAAAGTGTCTCACCTCCAGTGTTGTTCGTAGGCTAGTAAATACGAGATCTGACCTTTTATGTGGTAAACCGGTATGATTGTTTTCGACTTTTCTCCACTTTTGCATTGCTGACGTGTGAAACTACCAATCTCCATGGTTTGAACGATTTTTCCTCGTAAAAAAAATTTTATCATAAAAGTGGAGTGGTTTTATTTTGACATTTACTGCGCTGACTTGACGCCTTGTTAGTCCATTAAAAAAGCATAGCAGACCTTCAGAAATTGTGATACTTAACGGAGTTCGTCAATAATTTGAAACGTACACAGAGTGACCCAGAAGTCGACGTCAAGCTGGAAATGGGGGTCGGTGAAATAGTGGTTAACAGAAAAATATAAGAAAAAATCGAAGTTAAATTCAAATTATATCTGAAAATGATGATCAAAGCTAACCGAAAATTTAGCTGAGCTACGGATCGAATAACATATCTGGTAACCCAATCATTTTTAAGAAGATGTCAACCTTGCATTACTAGTGAAGGAAGGCAGTTTAAACATTCACAAATTCAAATTTGTAGAAATGAGATCTAAAAGATCATCACAGGGTGTAGATTTTTACGATTTTCTTAAAGCCTATCATTTGGAAGGTGCACGACTTAGATTTTTTATATTTTTCTGCAAATTTCGTCAACATTAGCAATAGCTACTACGACCTTGAGGTGTTCCACGTAAAATTAGAAAAAAAAAATACAAAAAACTAAATGAAAAACAACACAGTGCCTGCTAGTGAATATATCAAGAACTAAGGAAATCATTAGAGTAATCATTAATGGGTGATGTGATTATATAATCTGCAGAATACCTATTATCTTTAACATACATGATTGTTATATAAACACGACACGCAAACAATATCGTTATCATTCTGATCTAAAAGGCATATTAAGTAATTTTTTGCAAAAAAATTGGTATTGTTACATAAATCTTAGATAATAATTATAAAATCATATGTCCAACGATGCAGCATGCTTATGCCTACATATATTAACAATCCGTTTCTGTTATATAAGATTTCTGCTAATTAGATTATATATGTATGCGTTGTTTCGCATTTGCAATTCTGATAATATTGGTAAAAGTAGGATTTATTCAAATTAGCGACACCACCATATACTAAGTGACATATAAATCCGAACACCCAGTTTAAATGGTTTTATTTTAATAAAATTTTGTATAAGTACTTAATGCAGCATAATAAGTAAATGATAAAAATTTCAAAATGATTGCACTGCTTTAAAGCCCTTTGACCTTTAATAGTGTGTGGATGCACCAGAATGCTCTCGAAGTGCTTCTAGAGTCTGAGGAGGACGTTGCAAATTGAGCAATCTCCTACCTATCATATCCCACACGTGCTCAATTGGGGATAAGTCGGGAGATCTTGGTGGCCATGGTAACAATGTGACATCATTATGTTGAAAGAAGTCTATTGTGACTCTTGCAACATGTGGTCGGGCATTATCTTGCTGGAAAGTTGGATCTGCCAGGGTGTTAAGATAGGGTAAAAGATGGGGTTCTAGAACTTCGTGGATATAACGCTGCGCGTTCATGTTACCTCTGATGAAGATTAAAGGTGACCTGGAACCATAAGCTATAGCACCCCAAACCATAACTCCAACAGTGTGATGGACATGTCTTTCAACAAAAAACTGTGGATTCCTCCTTTCACCACGTCGCCTTCTAACCCTGGCACGACCATCGTGCATGCCTAAACAAAATCGAGACTCGTCACTAAAGACAATACGGTTCCATTCCTGATCCCAGAGTGACCGTTGTCTGCACCACTCAAGGCGATTACGTCGGTGTTCTCGAGTTAAAGGGAGGACCCAGTGTGGCCGGTATGAAAACAAGCCAAAACTTCTCATTCGTCGGTAAACACTTCGCACGCCAATAGGTCTTCCGTGTTCTGCAAACCATTCATTTGCAATGGACCTGGTAGTGGAGAAACGGTCCCTTAAGGCCAATAATCTTAGGCGGCGATCTTCACGGTCTGTTGTTCCACGGCGGCGTCCAGTGCCCCTTGCTCTTTGCGTACGGCCTTCTCGAAGCCATGCCTGACAACACCTAACCACAGTGTCTCCTTTTCTTTGCATTCTAACTGCATTCGCCCGAAAAGAAAGTCCAGCTTCCCGAAGTCCCACTATACGGCCCCTATCAAACTCACTAAGTTGACGAAATCGTACAGGTCTCCGTACTCTAGGCATCGTAACCGATCGTAAAGGATGTCAAGAACCAAAATCCGCCAACGTTGATTCTTTACTGCGGCTGAAATATTCATTTTTAGAGCGTTAGTGAATTAAAAAAAAAGCAGTATAAAAACCGGAATGTCCAACTGATAAGGCTGAAAATTTTTTCACTTGTTATTTACAGTAAGATAAATACATTCACCAACTTTTATTAAAATAAAACCATTTAAACTGGGTGTTCGGATTTATATTTCACTTAGTATAGATTATAAATAGTCGCTACTTGCTTAACATTCAGTGACCATATAGTCGTACATAAACTTAGAAAACCAACGAATGAGATCTAGTTTTCTAGCTCTGCACCACTAGGATGTGAGTCAGGCGCTCTGGTAATATTTGTCGCTTAAGATGGTTTCAAATGATACTTAGCAGAGTCAAAATACCTCTATTATCGTTCAGGTATGCGCGGCTTCAACAGGGGGGGCAGGAGGTACCTTAACATTTGCATATTTAGCTTGATTTTGTGTACAAATTTGGAAATTTTGGCCCGCTGAGAAAATTTGCATACCCCTTTTTGGAGCAGGTACCCTTTCACAAAAAAGCTACATCTGGCTGATGAACAGCCCCAAGAAAAATGTCTGCGTTTAAGAGTAAAGCTTTACTTTCCCGTAAGGTTTTGTTGTTTATCTTGTTAGTCATGATGCTAGACAATTGCTTCGAGCCGTGAAAAATGGTTTTCTCTTCTCAAGGCGATCTCGAAAACTTTTGAATGCATAATTTGTCATCTAACATATATTTTATTTTAAGTGGTTGATAAGCATTTTTATCACTGATATTCAGAACAATAGGCTAAACCTAGATGTCACCGCATTCTTAAACCATATAATAGGTCATTAATTATTTCTTTTGCTTTAGGCTTACAGCACTTAGGAGGAATATCAAGAGAACCATCTAAGGTGAAACCTCAAGAGGTATGTATAAATATTCTTTAAACAACTATACAACTGACTGGTGTTACTTTTGTCTGGTGTTTTTTTCCATATATCTCGAATTCAAAATTGCTGATACGTGCTTGATAGTGAGTGCAGTTGATCGTTTTATACATTATACGAAATTGTGTAATCCTAAGAATGGAACCATACAAATTGGAATTTGACTGAAAGGGGAGCAACTAACTTATTTAAAAACAATTAAGGTATTTTCACTCAGCTTATTATGCTAGGATAAAAAATGTATTCCTTCATTGGTAAACTAATGCCTTTAATGACGTTGCCGTTGCCGTAGCATTTATGTAAAAAATTTACACATTAATTTGTTTTTTGCAAAGGTATTTACCATTGAAAGACTTGTATTCAACATGAAAGCTCATTTGTCTTTTTACTAATAGGTTTTTTACTTCGTCATGTCGTTACCCTACTGACATCTATTGGCAGAAATGTAATTATTTTATCTAGTATTCGTAATACAACAAATCATCATAAATTTAAGTCACTATTAATATATTTTCAACACAGGGTAATACAGAAATTTCTAATGACGCATTAACGACATATTATTATATAATAATAATAATAATAATAATAATATAATTATTTATTTACTCAATGTACAAAGATAACAAACAAAATGAGTAAACAAATATAAAATCAAAACAGGCCCAATAGAAGGCATCGCCTGTACATGGACCAATAATTTAAGTTGAAACTGTAGAATGCAAATGACAAAAAAGGACAAAAATTAGCTACAGTAGATTATGTATTTAGTTGATGTTCGTATTTATGAGTTTATGAATTTCAGTCCTAGATATAAAATGTAGCCACTTTTTTAAATTTCTTTTGAAACAATTTCCGAAACGTAAATCTTTTAAGTCTTTAGGTATAATTTCATAAAATTTAGGCGCTAAATAGAGATATGATCGCTGCATTATAGATTTATGCGGTTGAGGAACTACTGTGCCACGAATTTTGTATCTGGTATAATGATTATGTTTAATTTTTTGGTCGGTGTTTACAAATTTATGGTAGTGCGTGATACTGTGTAAGAAATAAAGCTGTCTTATATCATACATTCGAGCATCTGCGTATAATTTTTCAGTGGGATAAAGTTTCGGTTTTTTAAATATCATTTTTAGAATACTTTTTTGAAAAACATCTAAATTATAGATATGTGAGGAACATGCAGCTCCCCATGCTAATATACCATATGTGAGATGAGGCTCAATCAGTGCATGGTATAATGTTTGAAGATATTTTTCTGTCAATATATTCCCAACGTATTTAATTTTGTAGGATACAAATCTAACTTTCTTTAAAATATAATTGACATGGATGTCCCATCGTAAGTGAGGATCCAAGACCACTCCAAGGTATTTTATGTTGGGCACTCTATTAATTTGCATTTTTTTATCATTAATATTGAAGGAGAAATTTGTGTAATTTGGCAGATGTCTAGCAAAAGATCCAAATGGTAAAAAATGTGTTTTAGAGTAGTTAATGCTTAATTTTCTACTGTTAAACCACCGAATAATTTTGATAAAATCATTTTCAATTACATTTTTCAGATCAGACCAGTCAGTGCCTTCATATAATATTGCAGTATCATCTGCAAAACTAGTTATTTTGCCAACACAATTAATTTGGAAAATATCATTTAAATATATATTGAATAACAGCGGACCTAAGACAGTTCCTTGTGGGACACCACACTTAATATACATTTCTTTACTAAATGATCCTGATATCTGCACAGATTGTGGGCGATTTGACAAATAACTTTCGATCAGTGAGTACGCGTTTCCTCTGAAACCAATTCTCTCCAATGCTTCTAATAATAATTTGTGATTAACTGTGTCGAAAGCTTTCTTTAAATCAACAAAAATGCAGATTGAAGGGATTCTGTTATCAATATTTTGATATATTTGATTTACAATTTTAGTTATTGCGTCCAATGTAGCCTTCCCTTCTGTAAATCCATATTGATTTTCACTTAAAATTTTGAATTTTGTGAGGTATCGAATCATTCTAGTAGATAAAACTTTTTCAAAAACCTTTGCTACACTGGATATTATTGATATTGGTCTATAGTTGTTAACATCTGTTTTTGTTCCTGATTTATGTATCGGTATTATATTACCATTTTTTAAAATTGAGGGATATATGCCAGATTCAAAGCATTTGTTGATTAGGTAAGTGAGTGGTTCTGTTATGTCCTCGGCTATAATTTTCAAATGCTCGCTTTTAATACCATCGAACCCAGGACTTTTCCGATTTTTTAAGGACATAACAGTGGTGTATACTTCATATTGTTCGACTTTATCCAAATAAATGAGTTCAAAGTTCTTTTTGGAGGCTGAGTATTTTGTACATTTGCTTGTATATTACTTGCTAAATTTTCGCCTATGTCAGTAAAGAATTGTACAAATTCATCGCATATCTGTTGAGTATTTTTTAATACTGTTCCCGATGTTGTATTTAACTCAGTGACACACTCTTTAAATTTTGTTTTCCCAGTAATCTCATCAATAGTTGTCCAAAGCCGCTTAGGATCATTTAAGTTATTATTCAATTTATTTAGGTAATGTTTTCGTTTGGTTTGCCTTGCAAGCTCTATAAATTTATTTTTATATTGGTTGTAACAGTCGGTATTCTCTGTAGTTGGCGTTAGTTTCATTACATTATATAGTCTTTCTTTTTCTATTGCCGATGTTATTAATCCTTTGGTAATCCAGGCATTTCTGCTTTTCTCTTTGTGACTAATTATTACTTTATTGGTACTAATATCTATTAGTTTTTTTATTTTCTCTATGAACAGTCCCGTTGCTTTGTCTATATTATTTATAGAGTATAATTGTTCCCAGGATTCTTGTTTGACATTTGATATTAGTTTTGAATTGTCGACAAAAAATTTGTAATTTTCCTGGTTGTTGTTAACGGTAGGAATGTTAGAATGTTTTTCATTTGAAGATATCAGTAAAATAGTGGAGAAGTGGTCAGTAATATCGCTTTCTAGGATTATTGGTATACAAGTAATTTTGTTGGATAGGTCTTTCACAAAGCAGTGATCTATACATGTGCCACTGATGGACCTTGTAGGTAGGTTTATATAGGACAGAAATCCGTTACTTGATAGGATATTCAAGTATTCATTTGTGATGGGATCATTGTCCAAAATATTTATATTGACATCTCCCAAGAAAATATGTTGCTTTAAATGAACTTCATTTTGATTTTGAAAAAAAAATTCGATATTCTTCAAAAACTCGTGGGGTTCTGAACATGGCGGACGATAAATTGCAGATACCTCAATTTTGTTATGGTTAATTAATTTAATGACCCTGAAGATGGCGCTTAAGGTAGCCGGAACGTAGTATTTTGATAAATGTTTTAAGTTGACCAAATTTCAAAAATGTATGACTTGAATTCGTCATAAGTAAGTCCTTACAATGGTGATACAAACTGACAAAATGTATAAATGACGATTCTCGTGTGCTTTTTTTTGTCTGACTTGAACAAGCTATGGTGAACTTGTATCGAAATCTTCCTAAATTCTTTTCAGATCGATTTTTCCCTGCTGCAGATTCTTTCGCCACGTCTCTGCCTAAAAGGCCGATTCTTGGAGTGGAAACTGCAAAGTAGTTCCGAACTTCTTAACGTTTATTAGAATCATTATCGTTTCCCTGCTCCTGCACGAACACCGTTTGTGCAGTTATCTCGGCCTAGTTTTGGTTAAAAAATAATTTTGCTGCGCTTGCAGTTTCCCCTTGATACAGATTAATGAGTCTTGAAATTCCACCATAATAGCCATTTATCTCGAAAATGAGACAACAAAATCTCCTGGAAAGAAGCCAGTCAGAGGCGTTCTAAAGGAATTGTTTATCTTGGACATTAGTTATTAACGCAAAGGGAGACGTAACGAGCTATTGAAATCGTTCGTCCAAACAACGAACTTTAAGCTAAATTTACATAATGTCAGAACTGAGATATACTAAGTGACATATAAATCCGAACACCCAGTTTAAATGGTTTTATTTTAATAAAATTTTGTATAAGTACTTAATGAAGCATAATAAGTAAATGATAAAAATTTCAAAATGATTGCACTGCTTTAAAGCCCTTTGACCTTTAATAATGTGTGGATGCACCCTGATGTGCTACGCATTCTTCAACGCGCCTAGGCATGCTTCTGATCAGGTGGTCAATGTCCTCCTGTGGTATCTCATTCCAGGCAACCACCAACTCCTCTCGAAGTGCTTCTAGAGTCTGAGAAGGACGTTGCAAATTGAGCAATCTCCTACCCACCATATCCCACACGTGCTCAATTGGGGATAAGTCGGGAGATCTTGGTGGCCATGGTAACAATGTGACATCATTATGTTGAAAGAAGTCTATTGTGACTCTTGCAACATGTGGTGGGGCATTATCTTGTTGGAAAGTTGGATCTGCCAGGGTGTCAAGATAGGGTAAAAGATGGGGTTCTAGAACTTCGTGGATATAACGCTGCGCGTTCATGTTACCTCTGATGAAGATTAAAGGTGACCTGGAACCATAAGCTATAGCACCCCAAACCATAACTCCAACAGTGTGATGAACATGTCTTTCAACAAAAAACTGTGGATTCCTCCTTTCACCACGTCGCCTTCTAACCCTGGCACGACCATCGTGCATGCCTAAAGAAAATCGAGACTCGTTACTAAAGACAATACTGTTCCATTCCTGATCCCAGAGTGACCGTTGTCTGCACCACTCAAGGCGATTACGTCGGTGTTCTCGAGTTAAAGGGGGGACCCAGTGTGGCCGGTATGAAAACAAGCCAAAACTTCTCATTCGTCGGTAAACACTTCGCATGCCAATAGGTCTTCCGTGTTCTGCAAACCATTCATTTGCAATGGACCTGGTAGTGGAGAAACGGTCCCTTAAGGCCAATAATCTTAGGCGGCGATCTTCACGGTCTGTTGTTCTACGGCGGCGTCGAG